GGATGAGAGGAGGATAAAAGAATTTTTTTTTTTTGGTTGAAGGGAAGGAAAAAGAGAAAAAAAACAAACTTTTAATTTTCATTTTTAACCTCTTGTTGCATAATTTGGAATGAATATATATATTTTTTGGAATTTTATATAATGAGGGGTATGTTAATAAAAATAATATAAAAACTCTATTCCTCTCTCTCTCAACAAAACAAAAAAAACGTATTTATTGTCCATTCTATTCAATCAAACAAAAAATAAAAAAGACACATTCTCTTTGTACAGATGCTCATCCATCATTTCCTCTCTTCCTTCTATTCTATCCCTCCAACCAACAAAGTATTAGTTTCTTTTTTCATGAGACACGCCTCTAAGTGTTTGATCCGCCCGGTCCACAGCAATTGTACTTAACAAATGTTAGTTGATCGATCATTTAAAAATTAGCATAAAATTTTCAAACATAAGTTCATGAATAACAATAAAATCTCCAATATATATTTGGTTGTTAATGAAACCAGTTATTTAATTAACAAGGGTATATATATCAAATTGAATAGGTCAATTTTCATTGAACAATAACAAATTATATTACATGCAGTGCTTCAACTGAACATTTATATAGGAGAGAGGTGTTGCTGGCGGCCAAAAATACCAAATCCCAAACCAATAATGCTCCATTCTTCATTAACAACAGCGCTTGACGAAGATGAGTTATAAAACAGAACTCTAGAAACACCCATCAGGAGTGAACAGGTTTGATCTTCCCTGAGTTGTTATGTACCCTTTCAATTCCGGATTTACAAGCATTGTGTCTTCGGGAAGTATTGCATAGTGAAGTTCAGTATGAGAATTCACATGACCAAAGGTACGGTGGATCATTTTGATTTTTGGGGTCCCACTAAAATTATTTCACATGGTGGAGGTAGATATATAATGACTAAGGTCATTCCTACACTCAAATTCAGACATTTTCTGAATTTGATTAGTAAATGTAGTTGCTGAGGTCCTTAGGGGCATGTGGAGGAGGCGAAAGGAGTAGCTGGAGATTGTGGAGTTTATCGCGTAATTCGAGCTAATGTGGAGATTTGTGACGTTGTAGCCCGAATTTGGTGCCATGTCACTTTGCCACCTGCTTACAACCCAACGACCCATTGGATGAGCTTTTTGTGAATCCGTTGGAAAAAAATTGACCCATTTTTGCTCATGGGTCGTAAACCCTAATTAGTACTCTTTTGCCTATAGCTTGATAAATAAGGGTGCTTAGAATTTGGAGTGTGATGATTAAGAGACATTGAAAATCGTACCCAGTGGGAGTGAGGGATTGAAATTTTTAATCTTCGATTTCACACAGTGAATACTTTCGCCGGATCTTCACCGTGGACGTAGATTTGCCGAACCACGTATACATTTTTGTATTCTTTGTGTGGTGTGTTTATTTTTCTATCGTATTTCGTAATTATTGCTTGGTTCGCTAAGTTTGTTGTAACAAATTGCTATCAGAACCAAAGGTGAAGGAGATACAGAAAACTTGAGAAGTCTCAGCATGTGCTGCAACTAGGGTTGCAATTGAACTGAGTCGAGCCGAGCTTTACCTTACTTGGGCTCGGCTAGCCAATTTCAGAAGTGTGCTCTTGCTCGGCAGAGCTGGTTAAACTAGGCTTGAGCTCGGCTCACCAAAATTTCAGCAAGCTTGGGCTCGCCTTTCAAACCCAAAAAAAAAAAAAGCTACAAATCTATAGAGTCGGAAGAAAATCGCTAGATCTGTTTGCCGATTTGAGAAAATTGCTGTATGATTGCATCTTTTTCACCGATTTGAAGAGAATAGCTCCATCTCATTCGCTGATTTAAATAAAATCGTTACATCTGGATTTGTATTCAATGATGATACATCATCAGAGGACAGGGAGCAAAGAGAGAAAAATTACAGAGAGAGAGAGAGAGAGAGAGAGAGATATGTTGTTTGAGACCGTCGAAGTGCGTTGAAGCTTGAAAGGGAAATGCTGCTGTGTTGAAATAGATGTTCGAGCTATACAAAATTAGCGTTTCTCACAAATGTAAAAAATTGTTTAAGTAATCCAATGGTTGATACCAAGATACGCATGTGATAGAATTGGGCTTAAGGTTAAGTGGAGTTGGGCTTATGAACATGTTTGAGTTTGGGCTTATAAAAATAAATGAGGTGGGCCTATGAAAGGTGTGAGAGTTTGGATTGAATTTATATTAAATGTATATAAAATAAAAAAATAAAAATAAACCTTACTAAACGAGCTTGTTCACGAGCCGAGCTCAGCATTGTTCATGCTCGCTTTGTTTATTAAATGAGCCTAAAAAATGTGTTCAAGTTCAACTTGTTTACTTTATGAACGAGGCCGAACCTAACTTTTAACGAGTTGAGCCTGAGCCCGAGCTATTTATGAAAAGCTCGGTTCATTTGCAGCCCTAGCTGCAACGTGCTTTAGGTGTAGGTGGAATCAATTGATTTGGTTACATGGCATGAAGCTCGAGTAGTCAAGGTGGAGCTTTAGAGGTTTGAATGATCAAGTAACATATAATGTGGACAATCGAAGTTTTGCAGAAGTATCGTTAAGATTGAAACTACAAAAGAATTGTCCTGCAATAATGTGAAAGCGACGATTGGCTGGATGGAATTTGAGTCGATGTGGAGATTGTTGAAAATTGTGTCTTAAGTTTTTATTTTAATTAAGATTTTCTTTTAAAGTTGTATTCTATTAGGTTATTTATCGTTTGGTAAGTCTTGGCTCTAAGAAATTATAATCCTCGTCTAACAAGGAATTGAGTTTAGAACACTATAAATATAAATAGATACCTAGGTTTTGGGTTGAGACTTATGAGATTGAGATAGATGTTGGGTTGAGACTTATGAGATTGAGATAGATATAGTCTCATGAGGGAGTTGATGGGTATAGGTAGTATATGAGTTGGTATATATAGGAAAAACAACGGTAACATTGGTAGCGAGGAGATAGGTTCATGGAGTACATTTACACGGTGTTAGTACTTTATTATTGTAATATCCCTATGAATCATAGTGGAATCTCTTATCATTCATGGATGTAGCCTGAGTTTGAGTGAACAATATATATCTTGTGTTTGCGTGTGATATGCTTTGTTGTCTTTTATTAGATCTTTGTGTTTGCGCGCTTGCCTCTCCTCTTGCTCTGGTTGTATCTCCTAGGACCTTTGCCCCAACAGTTATTTCTTCAAATCGATGTTGCTGCAATGGTGACTAGCTTTTGCTTTGGTTTGGGTTCTTGGGCTCTTTCGGGTTGCCTTCAGGGTTATAGGGTTCTGGACCTCTCTTTTGGGCTTGTGCCCCCTTGTACAATTTCCCCCCTTTTATAAATATCTTGATTTCCCGAAAAAAAAAATTGGGAAACACTAATACTGTGACATGGAAAATAATTAAAACATGTGAACCTTAAGAAGTAACTTTGCAAAATTATTTGGTTGCCATTTTGTATAGATATTGAAATTTATATATTTACCTCATAAATAGTTTGCTGTGTGAAAAATGAAATCAATCGATGATCCTTTAATGCATATTAGATGTTGAAATTTGATTTTATTTATTATTATTATTTAGATAAAATGATGCGAGTCAAAGATAGCTCCAAGTTATATTCAGCTTTTGCAAAAACTTCTCTACCCAAGAAATGTAAGACATGGTAAATTATGTAACAGATAAATTATCTGTAACAGGATTCGCATAGATTATTTTTTATTTTTTTTATTATTTATGTTTTAATGCACCTAATATGAAAATAGATTTTATAGATTTTCATGTACATAGTATGAACGGACCACACCCAATTATTGCATGACTTTTTGATATATAAGGTCTGTTCTTCGCCGCCACTCACTCAGTTCATTGCTTTCGGCGAGCACCATTTCCTAGGATAAGTGTCCCAACTCCGGCGAGTCTCAGTGCATTAAAGACTAAATTGACTAATAGAGCATCAGCGACACAAAACGGAGAGCAGAGCTTCATCTCAAATCAAGACCCGTTTCATCAACACTATGAACCCCGGTGAGGAGCTCTGAGTTGACGACGACAACCAACCATCAATAGCAAACTTCAATCCAGACCAGTGAGTACCGATTGCGGCATCCATGCCTACAAGCGCTCAGACGCGCCATTGATGGTGGCTTGATTGTCCATCGACCTGGGTTTTCAGATTTGGGAAAGAGATGATGGTGGAGGCTATGATTTTGTGGGGGCTGCGATAGTGTACGAGGAGGCTATGATTTTGTGGGGGTTGCTATGGAGGAGGCGGTGGTTGCTTGAAGGTGAGGGATGAGGGAAGGGCGGAGGAGGAGGATGACGGTGGTGGATGATTTTGGTACTTAAGGAGGCATGGTTGAGTTACCACCATGATTGCTATCATCATCCATCACAAAAATCAGAAATTAGAAATGGGTTTTCAATTGAAACACTTGAACAATAGTTTGGCTGAAAATGATGTTTGCTGGTGATGGCTTTCACCATACTAGAGGGCATTTTGGGATTTTAATACAAAAAACTGTTCAAAATGACTAATTAGGGGCAATTTGTACAGAAAAAAATAGTAAGGAATTTCTTGCACAAAAAAAATAGTAGGAAATTTTATGCACTCAACCCGGTTTGTTTTCTTTCCTTAACCCTTTATATAATAAGAATATCGTGGTGCCCCAATACGTGGCCTTAAACCACTTTGTTTTCAAACCAATGAATAATATCCTAAATTTAGTAGTCATTAAAACAATTTCAATCGACCATTTTCGCATAAATTCAATGGAAGATTCATATCTTTATATAACAAATACATAAGACCAGTTAAACACTTGGGTAAAGAAAAGTAGTTTAAACACTATAATAGCCTGTTTATCAATCATTTTTACTTCCAACAATGTACGAATGCCGAACAAAAGTTGGAAACATTATGTTTAGTAAGTTTTGCTACGATTTGAATAGTACTGCTTCCAAAAAAGAGGGCAAAACTCACACTGTTCTTGTATTTCAAAAGGGATTTGTACTCTCAGACTTTTTGTTTTGGGATAATTTAAATAAAATGGATTTTTGGAGGTGTATTGTCAAATCCATAGAGTCAAATCTATCCTTTCTAAAAAATAAATTTATGGAGGTTAATTGTCAAAATCATGCAAATTTACTTTACATTGTATTTTTATTTCGGAAGTGCCCCTTTTACTGTTGAACCGGGTCTTCTTGTTGTTTCTCCTCCTCCATGACCGGCTGCAACAACAACGCCGTGAATGGCATGTGCCGGTATCCATTACTGTCTTTTCCATGCAACTCGGCTTCTTACGACCTTTAGACTTTAGATCAACGGCACTGTCAGGGCCAACCGCTGTCCTCAGTCATCTTCTGCTTTAGATCATGTCTAACATGCTCCAAGTTTCCAACACACTACTCCTGTTCTGGTCAAACCATAGGTAGACAGATAAAGGTATTTAGTTGAAATTGTTGTTAAAATAAAATTAATGAACCACTAACCAGGAAGTTCAAAGGATCAAACCAAAACATTCCTCAATCAACCAACCAACATGGAAAGGCCCGATCTCGCCTGTTCGGAGAGAACCAGCGATCTCATAAGCAACAGTCAAGCACGATGTGACCCACCCAGTCAGAGCCACCCACACCATCTTTGGATTCTTTGCCATGCAAAAAGTCATACTCCATGGCACTGCCATGGTTCTACTTGTTTTTTTGAGCTTCAATGTCACATTCCTGAATTTTCTAATAAAATGCTATGATATCATTTTGTCATGACCCGAAAATGATACCAAATGCTAAAAAAAATTCGACATAACCTCTGCTAAAAAGGGACCTACGCAAACTTGCTTAAATGCATACAAAAAAAAAAAAATACAATGGCCTCTCTTGGACCTTCAAAATTTATCTACCCTTTCCGAATTCACGGCAAAATGTACCACATTACACAGATATAACCATTACTAATTTATCAAAGATATAACATCATTCTTCCTTTCAACCTAAGCATTTACATAGTCCCAATTTACATCAAAAGTAATCAAGTATCTTAGTTAAGTTACATGGCTATGATTTGCAAAAATAAATATTATTATTATTATTATTATTATTTTTTATAGTTTGTGACTTTACAAAAGATTAACTAATACGCAAAAGGTGCTAAAATAGATCTCTAGTCCTCTTCATGCTTGAGAGGGATCGACATTTACTAATTCCTTTTCTGACCCTGAAAAATGTTAAATAAAATGGGGTGAGCAAATTGTTCAGTAGGTGGTGCCTAAGACACACCTCTTATGACCCCGTAAATCCAAATAAGGAATAGAATAATAGGAAATGGGATTATGTTAAGCTTGGGGAAAATACAACATCAATTTCAAATTCAAAATAAATAATGCCGTGCCATGATATGCAATGCCATGTATGTCACTTCTCATTTTCAGAAAACATACATCACTTTCCAAACTGTTAATATAAACCGTCCTTTGGTAACTCCGTAGCGACACGAGAGAAGGGTTGGCTTCTGTCCCTGACCCTTGGTACTCTCGCGGCGTCATTTGGGCCCAGATAGCTCAATCACGCTAGGGCAATCTCCCTATTTCCCTATAGGCTATATTAACACACTGGCCCTTTGGTGACTCTGAGGCGACCGGGTTTTCTTAAAACTCATTTTACCAAAATTCTTCCCGAAAATCCCCTTTTCTTTTATTTCAAATCATTCCCTTTCATTCATGCCCAATGACATGCATGTGTGTCTCATACTTCTAATATTATGACAATAAGGGATTCTCATCAAATACAAATAAACATGTTTTACAATAAATTCCAATAAAATTATATATGTTTACACACATCATTTCTAGCAATTAATAACACGATAGGCATAGAAAATCAACAATTAGGCATGCTTTCCATGCAATTCAACAAATACACATAATTGCATGCTTCATAAACACAATTAAGGCATTTGAGGAAAAAAAATCAATTTAAATTAATCATGCCAATTATTTTATTTCATAAAATCACATTATTCAAAACTTTTCCCAAAATTCCTTTTTCATTATTTTTCAAGTAAGTTTTACAAGAGTTTTCAAAAGAATTCCATATGCTATCATACATCATTTCTACCCAATTCAACAACATAATTAACATGTAAAATTTACACTTAGGCATGCTTTCTATATAGAAAATTCACAAAAGTGCAATAAAATGGGAATTAGAGACCCCTACCTCAATATGATGCAAAACCCTCAAAATGGGTTCAAATTTTTGAAAATTTTAGGAAGGTCCAAAGCTGAATTTGCTGGTATGGATTCAAAGGCCTCGTCGTGGGCTTCAATTTGCCGCAAACGACTTCCAAAAACTCCAAGTATTGAAAAAGCAATTTGAGTTTGAAATTTGTTTCCAAAAAGAAAGAAAAAATGAAGTGAAGAATGGGAGAGAGAAAGGGGTTACGGGGAGAGAGAGACCAAAAATGGTTTCTAACCACAAATAGGCATTAGTGGTGTGTCCCACCACGTTCTTTTTCTTTTCTCTTTTTCTTTTGTCTTAATTTCTACACGACACATATACATATTTACAGATTAAATTTACAATTACATAAAACACAATAAATAAGAATAAATATGATACAAATGGACCCAACTAAAATACCCGTACATGGCAATATCGGTAGCGGGTCCCACATGGATCCGTCCGGTCTGAAAAAATGAAAAAATGCGAAAATGACCAACTTTGCATTTCCAAGAGTCCTGAACTCAATGGAATGCCCCAACCAACTCTCCGACACATCCGGCACACCTCACGGGGTCCGATGAGCAAAACGTGAAATAACGAAATTGCCCCTTACAGCGACAAAATTTCCGAAAAATGAAAAATGCCAAAAATTAGAAACATTACATTCAATTTCTTTCTCAGAATGAATATCTAATCAAAAGACACATACCATCTTAAAATTTAAAGAAAATCCTTTTGAATTTGAGGATCAAACGTTATTTGCAAATTACTCCCGGAAACCTCGTCACCACAACCGGAAAACTCCTATATTATCAATTTGGGCAAATAGTTGTATGTTAGTTAATGATAGTTACCTTGCAAACTCACACTGTTCTTATATTTCGAAAGAGATTTGTACTCTTCAGACTTTTTGTTTTATTATTCTTTCCTAACCCACATTTACTTATCGACTTATTCAATATATATATAATTATATATACATTGACAAACATATATACACACACACACACACACACATTGAGAAAGAAAAAAAAAAAAAAAAAACTAATGCTATAATTTATAGAAGGGTAAGGCTTTTGAGATACCGTCTGCAGCTCTTTTTGTTAATCTTTTAAATTGAACAAATTTTGAAATTTTTAAAAAGTAAGATGAACTTTTTAATAAATTTCTCAATACGATGATCAATTACAAGGATAGTTTATTATTTCATGAGATCTTGATAATTTTACATTTCATAGAAAAGTAGATCGGTACTAGGTCTCAGATTTACCCCCTATTTCTTCTATAATGGTGCATTGTCGGTTTTTTTTTTGGGCATTGTGTTGTTGTAAAGTGGAGTGCAACAATTTACAACAGTGCCAGCCAATGAATGCGAAGCAAGCTTTTCCAACCAATATATATACAAAATTGTATATGAGGTCATGGGCTCTCTGGCGCCAGCACCTACCATAAAACACTATAGACTCAAAAAAAAGAATATATATATATATATGGACATCTCCATTCTCAATTTTGAGATGCATTTTATTATTTTAGGAAGGCATTTAGTGAGAAAAAAGTCTTCATAAATAACACACCGTCATGAGGTCCAAACTGCATTTCTTGATGTATATATTAATATTTGTGTTAATGAATGAATAATCTACTAAATTCAGTTCTTGTACCTCTATTTCAACTAAACCAATTTCTCCTAAACTCAAGACGTTCAAATGAGAGTGGAAGATTCATACCTTTGTACGGCAAATACATGCCCAGTTAAACACTGACGTGAAGAAAAGTAATTTAATTAAAGTTAAATAAATTGACACAATCCATCATTAGTCCCTTCACTTGCTAAAACCCAGAGGTAAAAAAAAGAAATTTAGAATGAACCAAGCCCAGTTTTTTTTTTTTTTTGGGTTATGTTCAAGTTTTGTACAAGTGTCTTGCATCAAATTAAGTTTCTCAATTCCTCTTGCTGCATTTTGGGTACACTTTTTGCATTTGAAATAAGCTAGGCTATATTCAGAAGAAAAAGAGGAGAAATAAAAGAATAAGTAGAGAAATCGCACCAATATCAAATCCAATCAAACTCATCGACAGGTCCTACGTCTAAATTCAAATAAGATGCATAAAACCAGTACCAATTTTGTTTTATATATTTTTGAATTGATTTAGTTTATAAATTAAATATAGATTGCCTATTATTTTATTTGTTATATAGAAAGATGAGTATTTCTCTCTTTAATTCATTTTGTTAGAAAAATATAGGAAGACGGATATATATATATATATATATGTATAATATTATATATTTTATTTATTTATTTAATGTATTCTTGTCGTGTCCGTATTATTTTTTATTTTTTATTTTTTATTTTTAATTTACCATATCACTATATCAGTACCGTACCCATGTCCATGTTTGTACTTCCTAGACTGCATGTCATTGACCGGTGGAGGAACGTTGTTGTACAACAATGGATTGTCTAGCTTTATTCGGGCCAGGTTAAGTAAAAAGTATTTGAATCATTTACAGGGACCACGTGATATACTCACGTTCTATATTTTTATTTATTTATTTGTTAGTGTTTGATGGTAAACTAATGGTGTGGGTAAGGCGGCAAATGAATTGAGCTAACACTTAGGCTAGGCTTGGCTCGCTAAGGGCTGGGCTCGCGCTCGTTCGTTAAGCAAACGAGCCGAGTTTAAGCACAATTTTTAGGCTCGTTTAGTAAACGTGCAGAGCCCGAACAAAGTAGGACTCGACTCAGCTCGGCTTGGCTTGACAAGCTCGTGAACAAGTTCTTTTAGTAAAATTTTATTTGATTTATTCTCAGTCGATATAAATAATTACCCATTAAATTATTATTAAGCCCATATCATAATGTTGACTCATAATTTTACTTCACAAGTCCAAATTATAAGCTCATATGCATTTGAAATTAAATAAACCTATTATCTCCGGCTAATACCCACCTTAGCCCTAACTTATGTCATTCTTGCCGTGACATTTCATCCCCAAGCTCATATCTCATATCTCATCTGTCATCTCTTTTATCTCTTTCTCTGGTGTAGTTAATCCACGCTACATCTTTAGCAGTAGTGTGATTTGTGAGGAGATGGTCAACAATTGCGATGGGACAAAAGGAGAAGATCGATGAATAAGGGATGAAATCGCTTGGCTTATAAAGTCAAGGTCTTAACTATATACATGGATTTCTGGTATTATATATTTCTCCTTAGTATAAGATACACACACACACGAGAATGAGATGGATGTGTTTGGCCAAACGAGCTTGAGCTTGCCAAGAAACTCACGAGCCGAGCTGAGCCCGAGCATGGCAATACCAAGATCACCCAAGCCTGAGCACCCTTTTGATCTTGACAAGCCGAGCCCGAACATGCCAAAACTCAGCTCGCCTCATTTGTAGCCATAGATGTGGGGGTGACATGATGGATTCTTAAAACGTCAAGGAGTTTTATGATAGTTTTTTTTTACTATAGGGGTTAAATGGTTAAATTGAATATAGTATACGGAGGGTTTATGATTTTAAAATTTATTATTAATTTTTATTTATTTTTTACATTTTAATGTTGAAAATAGACTTTTGTACATTTTCATATACTAAGTATGAAATGACCACCACACAATTGTTGCATGACTTTTCGTTTTTTTGGGCAAGCATGACTTTTCAATATATATAAAGTTGCATATTCTGGCAGTGAAAAATGGTGAATGTAATTAATTGAACACACCAAAAAAAAAACATATATATTTTGAGTAAGTGTGAGATTGGAGGAAACTATTGTATCCTCTAGTAACAAACGAAACTAATCACCATCTCTTACTTGTATGACAGCCTACCATTTTTTAACGAGGTTGGATTACAGTAGAAATTTCTTTAACGACGTTGGATTCTACTAGAAAGAATAGTTGCAAAACAATAAATGTACGTTTTCTAAATTAAAATTACATGATAAGGATTACGTGATTTTTTTTACATGTGGATGGAGCTGTGCTATATCTCAATTTCTATTAATCATTTTTTCTTGTCTTTTGTTGATTAAATATATAAATTCCTTATTAATGATATATTTTTATGTTTGACACTCCCAATACCTCCATATGCATAGATCATTTTGGGAAGAGGAAAACATTCGATTATTTTCTCCACTTTTTCTTTTGGTCCACATCATTTGAATATGTGATATATTTTATTATTTGGTAGCTAAGTAAATAAATATGAGACTAATATTATACTATATTTGGTCAATTTTATAATAACTTTTTTGGTTATTAATTATTGGGGAAGTATTACTTTGTTTCTACTTTGATGAAAAGTGAAAAATAGAGTTAAAATGGAAACGGGTTTTTTCTCTGCCTTTATAAAGTGTATATATCCATCAATTATGTACACTTATGAAACAACACGTATAATGTTTATGTGTGCAAAAGGCTAAGAGAGAAACTAGTTTCTACA